TTGTTATTTTTAACTTTCGAGATCCATAAAATTAAAAAAAGTCGATTATATTTGATCGTGAGCTGATAGCAACTCAGCCAACTTTCCCCAAAGTTTCTCTTATTCTAAGTCAATATTTGACTGTTCACTGGGAAACTGAATCAAGTTGAGTAGACTAGGAATTGCCCAGGTAATCCCCGAGCTACAACAACAAGATATAATGCCATTGTATATTTCAAATATATATTTGCTCTGCTATAAATGCAACAAATTTTTATTAGTTTGTTCATTGGGTTATAAAAAAACTTAAACGAGATCATTGACTTTGTCAGAAAATAGATCAAAATAGTGAATCCAAAATTTAGATGTAGCTAAACTGTTTCTACAGTGTGACTACAGTGCGTATGAGTGATATCTGATAAATTTTTTTGTTTATAAGAAGTAAAAGTAATAATAAGCTTTAATATATTTTTTTATAAAAATTGTGAATTGAAATAAATTTATCATCCAGCCTATCTGGTTCTCTTGGACAAATTTTTTTGTTTGCTTTTATTTTTAAGTTATTTCAGCTATACTGGGGCCTTTTCACTTCACTAACCTAAACATTCTAATATTCTTTTTTTTTTCAATTTTTTTAATCTGTTGCCATTATTCTTGTGTTTCTATAAATGAAAATCTCATAACCTTCCACTGATATTTTATTTTTAAATGACGACTAATATCTACACTTATCCTACTGATTATTATAAATTACAATCTGAATATTAAGAGTTTCAATGTAATTTACAAGCAATAGAAGTGATTGTTCTATTTATCAACAAAACCTATTATTTGTAGTGTTATGTCTTTAACGTTAGAGCAAAAATTGACCAAGTAGCCAAACACCAACTTTATACAATACTATATTTGTATATAGTCCTTCATCAATCAAAAGTAGAAAATGGTAAAAATAATCTTATTTGCTTTCACTAGCTCTAATTATAGGAAATTATAGGAAAAAAAATCATTTGTGTTATTAATCGGTAAGAACCATTCCACGTGCTATCAAAATCTAAAAACACACCCCAATAAAAAGGATGTGGGCATTAACATTTTTATATTCAAAGCACATTAAAAATAAATTATATTGAAGCAAAATATATCCAAAAATTATTTTTAGCTTTCTTTTATTTTATATCGAAACCTCAGAATTTCTCACAAACCTATTGGATTTTCTATGCCACAAAATTTAGAAGGAAAATTAAAAGCAAATAATTTATGCCCCGTCCAAATGTTACCTTGGCATGTATCTTAGAAAGTGTGTAATTTTTAATGCAGAAAGTTAAGAAACTCATTGCAAAGTTTCACAGGAACATATAAAATGCATGAAAATATCTAAAAGATTAAAAAAATTTCATTTAAGCCAATGTCTTGACTAAACTCAAGAAAGGCACACAAAGGTCATAGAAAAGTTGAGGCAAAGTTATGTTAATATTCGTAATAAAAAGAATTATTAAGAAATACTCAGCTTTTTATTTTTTTATACGGAACCGTTTCAATGAATTAGAATCATAAATATTGGTTATAAATTGATTTCGGGTAAGTACACATGAAAGCGTCTTTATTAATGAAAATGGCGTCACCTTATAAATATTAGAAATGCATATTACCTTTTGTGGTGTAGAAATAATAGGTACACTGCCGCCGCACAGACCATATTGAACTATTGACTTAATCCTGGCAGTCACGAAATACGAATTCATTAACAAAACGATTCAATTTGTCATGTGTTTTATTGGAACCAATTCAATTCTTTTAGTATTATTGAAACGTAGGAATAAATTTAGAAATTATTTCGGTGGTTTTATTTTACGACAAGGTATAAGAAATCTTAAGGTCACAGTGCTCGGCATGGCATTGACGTTAATACTTAAGTTTTTTTAAATTTTGAATGCATTTGTTAATTGACTGCTGGAAAACCAATATTGACGAAAAATTTTGCAATCCTTCAAATTCTGTAAGGACTGGGGATTGCAGCCTTAAGTAATTCTCTGCTTATACACAGTAGATGGCCAACCAATCTTAACATACGGGTGCCTAATTTGGTGGCTCTCGCTGAGCAAGCAGTACACAATATAAATGCTAACCACACTGAAAAGATCAGTATGCGTGGGAAAAACAGGGACATTGAAAATGTGACCTACAAGCGCGTACTCAATATTATGGTTCACTATGATACCCACTGATACTCACTTTCAACAAACAGCAAGTCTTAGTGCACAAAAGCTTAAAGATCTAAACTGTTAGCATTCCATAATGTTAGAACATTATAACATTCTATCAATCTATTCGAGAATTGGAAATAACGAATCAGATCACTTATTTCCTTACTTGTACGTTGTTAGCAGCTTCTCCTTTAAGAGGGAATTGGGAAGCAGTGCTGAATACAGCGAAAGGTAAAATAGCAATTTATACTAATGGGTTAAAGTCGAATAAAGGCACAGAACCCGGAATCTATACCGCAGACCTGCGGACTTATAAATCCTACCACCTTCGTGACTCTACTTTACTAATTCAGTTAGAACTTTTCACCATCCTGAGATCCTGTTCTCTTACAGCGAGCTTGGGCATTCATAAAACGAAAGTCTATATTTTCACTGTTAGCCAGACAGCTAATAAAGCTACTTCAGCAATCTGCAACTCGTTTATAATAGTTCACGAATGTAGACGATTTATTAACATATTAGGCAATAGCTCCAAAGTAGCCGTAGTTTGGAGTTGAAATTCCGATTCTTACATAGCATAAAACGTGCGCGCAGTTGTGGTTGCTAGACTTAGTACCTCTTCTATGAAACCTTTATGTAAAGATTTTAATTTCTTAGTTCTTAAGATATAGATCTAGTTATTTTATTCTGATTTCAAATAAATTTCAAATTTTATTTACTTCATTAGCAAAAATTAATTATATAGTAATAAATATTATTATTAATCATCATAAATTAAATAATATTAGATGAATAACATAATTTTTATTCTCATGGAAAGAATTTATTTCCTGATTTATTTTTGATAAAATCAAAATAGATGCAAATGTATCTTATAAAAACGACCTGAAATTTATTGAATCCATTTTAATATTTTTATATTATATAAATTATTTATAGATCATATGCTATACTTTTTCATGGAATAGAGTTCCACGTTTTCATCGTCCTACATTTTGCCTGCCTCAATTTCATTCCGTTTAGTCTTAAGTGCGAGTACAGTCTATAACAAAAACCTCTTCGCCGATTATATAATCAAAGTACAAAATGAACGAGCTTAAATATTTATGTATGCAAAGATAAAAACTCGTTGACATACAAACGAGCAAAACACAAAATAGCATGAATTTTATGAAACTAACAAAAACACGCCAATGTCAAGGAAAGAGTTAATAGCATCCTTGCATGCCGAAACACAACAAATACATGCACACATGCAGAAATACACGCATACACACACACACACGCATACGAATGACTTTATTTACAGCTAACGCCATGAACTCACACATAAGCGAGCGATGCAATTATGTAGGCTTGAACACAAAACAAAAAAAAATTATTTGTAAATTAAACTTTTCTTCTTTCTAAAATGCGCACTCATACCAATAAAAATACACACACACGCACACACACTTTGCTTAATAAGTAAAATTTAATCAAAAGTAAATTACTTTGGCTGTACAGTGTACACCGTAGTGAATCAGTGAAGCATTGCTTGCTTCATTGCGAACACAGTCGCAGTCACAGTCACAGTAAACACACTAAACAGTTAACATACAGCAGCAGAAATTGAAAGTGAACCTAGTCTTCTACCAAATCTGTTGGTAAGCAAATAAAATAAGCACATACCAAAGGTCGTAACCACGGTTAAGAAGGGCTGAAGTGTAGGGGTAAGCATGCACGAAATGTGCTTGCCATTTAAACATATTGAACGGCATAAGCATAAACAGAGAAAACAGCTGTTTAAAGCGGCAACAACAAACTCACACGCATACATATACACATAAGTATAGAACAACAATCATACTACATTCGTACTTGTACTCGCGCTTAATTAAGCTTTCGCAACTGCCGCTCTACACTTGACTGCATGCTGTTGTTGTTAAACCGTTAAAGTATGTAAAATTTTCCGGCTACAATTTGTGCTCAATGTCTTTTTATTTTTGTATTTTTTTTTATCATATTTTTTTTTTTTTGTTTTTCTTATTTGCACTTGCAACAGTTTTCTTGCTCTTCACGTAAAGCGCATGCCAATGTAAAATTTCTCAGGCATGTTGAAGAAAAAAAAATACTGGGTAATTTTAGAGGCACAGTGTTATGCTAAAATAGGCGCTTTTATGCGGAAATAAATGCTGTTCGCTTATGATTTATTTTCTCCCTTATGAGTTTAGGTCCCGAACATACACGTAAGCATATTTTTAAAAATTTTAAAAATAACAAAAACAAAATATGTATAAAATGTAAAAATAATTCTTGTTGCATCATACAAAATACAAGCACAAAGTGTAGACAAAGAATTTCAACTATTTATTTTTTATTTAATAACTTAATTACATTTCTTTACTATTTCAAACAGTTTTTAAACACATAAGCCTTCGCATTGACATTGATTATGTTATGACATACGACTACGTACACAACTCGCACCACAAAATCCATTCATAATTAAATTAATTTTTCTATTATATAAAAAAAAATTAATACATATTTTGTATATCGAATTTTTTTCATTTTTTTGATAACAGTTTGATAATGAATTCAAAAATGCTTTATTGTAAATTTTTTTTTTTGTTAATTAAAATTGTATATACATTTTAATCCGCACCCATATTTAATTGTTATAATTTCACATATTTGTGTGTTGCACAAAAACATTTATTTCTAATATTTAATTTTTAAAGCAATTTTTTTTGTATCAAATATTTTTAGTAAAATTATTTTTTTGTTATTAAATTAATAATTATTTAAAAATTACAACATGTGTAAGCCGCTTACCATTGGCAAAAATATTAGCTGAGTTTGGAAGGGCATGCTGATACATGACTTGCTAAGCACCAATGTCTTCACTTTCATGTCACTTTAACCACTGCGAGAATGAAAGCCTGAGAGCTTGCTTTTCCTATTTATTCTAAAACACAATTGCACAGACACACAAACGTTTTAACAGTGTTTTTTTCACAGCACGTAGCCCACTGAATTGTAAAAAAGTACCTTTTATAGCTTTATTCCCAACTTTTTTCGTTTGTTTTTTAGGCGAAATAGCCAATAAACCTTATGAAATCGTTCTAAAGCGAATTTTATCAGGAAGGAATGAATTCGTAACAGCAGTTAAAGCACACATACACACATACCGTTTTTAGACCGTACTTATTTAACCAGTATTTTTCTTTTTTGCAATAATGCACAATTTTAAGCACTTAACGCGTCGTGAGCTTACAGAGAACTAAGCTCAAATGTTTAAATTATTAAATATATTTTTATTGTATTTAGATTAGCGTATAGTTGAGAAATTTTATTTATATTTTTTTGTTTTTTTTTTTGTATAAACATTTCATTAAATTTTATTTTGTTTGTTATTTTTATGTTGTAATTATCGCAATTATTTTTTAGAACAATATTATGCAATTTAAGTGCTGACTGTTGTTATGTAAAGTACTTTTTAAATATTAATTGCCTGGCAACTCTGGCCTGTCATTATTCTATATTCCTTTTGTAATTATTATTCATTATTCATTTTTAGTATAGTTAATAAAGCGAAGTAAAGAACATGTTAAAAATACATCGGACCGTGTTTCACTTTTGCTAAAAATATATAATAGGTTATGGGCCCAGCACGCTTCCACTGCGAAGTAAAAAGCACGTGCACATAAAAAGTAGATTTAATACGTGTATAAAAATGTCGGGAACGGTGATTCGAGTTGAACCGCTTAACGCGGAAAACTACGATACATGGAAATTACAAATGAAAGCTATTCTCATAAAAAACGATTTATGGTCATATGTCGAAGGTACTGCGTCGTGTCCAACGGGCGAAGCGGCTGCAAAATGGATCAGCTTTGATCAGAAAGCGTGCGCTGATATAATGTTATCAGTAAGTGCATCAGAATTAAGATTAATTGCAGAATGCACAAATTCAAACGAAATGTGGATGAAACTACAAGCCACATATTCATCAAAAGGGCCTGCGCGCAAGGCGACGTTGCTGAAAAAGGTTGCACTTTCGCGCATGAAGGAGGGTGAAAAGGTTAGAGAGCACCTCAACGATTTTTTTGAAGCCGTGGTGAAATTAAAGGAAATCGACGTCACCATCGGGGATGAGCTTCTGGCCATACTGCTCCTATATAGCCTACCCGATTCTTTTAATACTTTCAGGTGCGCGTTAGAAACACGCGACGAGCTGCCAAAGCCAGACATACTTCGAGTAAAAATATTAGAAGAAGCTGAATCGCAAAGGACAAAAGAAGACAGACATAGTGATGAAAACTCTCTATACATAAATCGAAATAAAAGCCGAAACGCAAAACAAAACAAACGATACAGTGATTCTAAACGAAACAAACAATGTTTTAATTGTGGCAAAATCGGACATTTTGCACGTGAATGTAAAAATAAAGCAAAAGCTGAAAATAACACGCAATTGAAAAATTCGGAAAAATCTGTAAACAATAATTTTAGCTATCATGCTGAAGATGCATTTATTAGCTCAATAAAAGAAAATTATTGGTGCCTAGATAGTGGATGTACTGCCCATTTAAGTGCAAACCGTGAATATTTTACAGACTTTCAAAAATCGAATAAAGTGCTTAACTTAGCAAACGACAACACAAGTATAAACGGCGTCGGTAAAATGAAAATAACTGTAGACGTATACGGTCGTGATAATAACATTGATCTTAAAGAAGTTCTATATGTCGAGGACTTGCGTACAAGTCTACTTTCTGTATCAAAAATAGTGGACAGCGGATATGAAGTGCATTTTCGCCCTTCAGATGCAATCGTATTGGACAAATATCAGAAGGTTATAACTCGAGCGAAAAGATGTGGAAATTTTTTTATTGTTGAAAATAAAAATCATTTTGCACAAGTTGCTGAAGAAAAATGTGACATTGAAAAGTGGCACCAGAAAATGGGCCACATAAATGAAAACGATCTTAAAAAATTGGCTAGTAATAACCTAGTACACGGATTAAAATTAAATCCTAAACAAAAACTTCCGACTTGCGAAATTTGTATTAGTGAAAAACAAACACAAAAGTCATTTCCGTAAAGAAACTAGAACAAGTGATTTATTAGAGATCGTGCATAGTGATGTGTGCGGACCAATGAGAACAGCATCAAATTCGGATGCAAAATATTTCGTAACATTTATTGATGACAAATCACGCTATTGTCATGTATATTTTATAAAACAAAAATCCGATGTATTAAATGTATTTAAGCAATACAAAAGAGCAGTAGAAACATTTACGGGTAAACGAATTAAGGCTTTACAATCAGACAATGGTAAAGAATACGTTAATTCTGAATTTAATTTATTCTTGAGGAAATTTGGTATACAAAGACGCTTAACTGCTCCATATACGCCGGAGCAAAATGGTATTGCTGAACGTAAAAACAGAACTCTAGTTGAAATGGCCCGTTGCATGATGAAACAAGCTGAAGTTCCGCCAAATTTTTGGGCAGAGGCCATAAATACAGCGTGCTATATTCGGAATAGGTGTCCTACAAGAGCATTGAACGGTGTAGTACCGCACAAGTTGTGGACTGGTAAAATGCCAACTATTGTACATTTTCAAGTATTTGGCTCTAAAGCATATGTCCTAAAAAAGGATAAGACTAGAGATAAATTCGATTCTAAGTCAGAACCTTACATGTTTGTTGGATATTCAAACGAAGCGAAAGCCTATCGGCTGTGGTCATCTACAAAACGAAATATAACAATAAGCCGTGATGTCGTGTTCGTAAACAAAAATATCTATCATAATAAATACGAAAACATTTATATTAACAATGAAAACGACTGCCAAACAAATGATTATATCGATATTGCGTTCGAAAATTGTGAAAATCAGAAACTGTCGGTCAATCCGAAAATTGTAGAAAATACAGATACGCGAGAAGAAAACTCCATTCGTAGGAGAGGTCGTCCGAGACTTATTCGCACAAATTCACGCGGTAGGCCTCGAAAAGAATATTACACGTCAAATCGGAATGGTGAAGAATCATCCAACGAAGACGAAAATACAAGTTCAGTAAGAAAAATTGCTGATAAAAACCATTCAGATGATGAACCTGACAACAACGTTTTTGAAGATTGTGAAATGGCGTTTCTCACTACATATCAAACTCCAGTAACGATTTTGGAGGCACTTGAAAGCGATGAAACAAATTCCTGGTCAAAAGCGCTAGAAGACGAAATAGTGGCACAACTAAAGAATAAAACATGGGAAGTGGTCGAAAGACCGAAATCACGAAAAGTTATTGGGAATAGATTCGTGCTTCGAACTAAAGATGACGGAAAACAGAAAGTACGATTAGTAGCGAAGGGTTTTGCACAACGACCAGGTGAAGACTTTCATGATACGTTTTCTCCAGTCGCTCGTTCAACATCTATAAGACTACTTGCGGCACTGGCAGCAAAAATGGATTTGGAGATCCATCAGATGGATGTCATTACAGCATACCTAAATGGAGAGATCGAAGAGAGTGTCTTCATGGAAATTCCCGATTATCTTATACCATTCCTGAACAAAGTTGTTTCATCAAAACCAGTGGGAAAAACTTCAACAATATTGTGTGGAAAAGTTAAAGAAACAGCGCAGCATTGGTTAAAGGCGATTAAATCAAGTAAGTCACCTGTATGTTTATTAAAGAAAGCTCTTTATGGACTCCGTCAGTCTGGGCTATCATGGTACATGAAATTGACAAAGAAACTACAGAATATGGGTCTAAGTGCAGTACAACAGGATCCTTGTGTATTCACTAAGCGAGAAGGCAACGACATTGTTTTAATGACAATATATGTAGATGATTTACTAATAGCGTCCAATAATAAGTTTCGTATAAAAGAAATAAAGGCTGCACTTGCGAATGATTTCGAAATGAAGGATTTGGGAATAGTAAGTAATTGTCTTGGCATCGAGTTTCATCAAAATTTAAGCAAGCATCAAGTTTTTCTTTCACAAGAGAAGTATGCAAAAACCATTATTGAAAAGTTCAATATGAAAGACTGTAAACCAGTGAAGACTCCCATAGAATTGAACATTAAGTTAACGAAACCAACAAAAATTGATGAAGGTGTTATGAAGATGTATCCCTATCAAAGCTTGATAGGAGCATTAATGTACTTAGCTGTTACAACTCGACCTGATATTGCGTTTGCTGTAAATTTTCTTAGCCAGTTCAATTCAAATTATAACGTGGAACATTGGAAAGCAGCAAAACGAATTCTAAGATACCTTAAAGGTACAAGCAACTATGGTCTATTGTATGAGAAAAACAATGAAGAATTGTATGGTCTGGTTGACGCTGATTGGGGCGCTGACTTAAACGATAGACGTTCATATTCAGGGTATGCGTTCATTATATCAGGAGCAGCGATATGTTGGGAAGCTCGAAAGCAA